AAAAAAAAAAAAAAAAGAAACATGAAGGAGGAGCGACTGAGAGGTAAGGGATGATAGTGGTGGTCAACAAACTACTGATGGGGAGGGGTCATTCCTGATTGAACACTGGAAAAACATAGAGCACACCTGAGTACCAAAAATGGTGTCTGTTTCTGGCTGGGCGCAGTGGTTCACGCCTGTAATCCAAACACTTTGAAAGGCGGAGAAGGGCAGATTACTTGAGGTCAGGGGTTCGAGACCAGGCTGGCCAACATTGCTGGGCCCTGGACCATATGCTGCTTGATCCCATTGCCCAGAGAACTCCTCAGCCTTCAAGACATGGTTTGATGGGGTTTGGCTATGTCCCCACCCAAAAATCTCATCTGGAATTGTAAACCCCATAATTCCTATGTGTCAAGGGAGAGACCAGGTGGAGGTAATAAAATCATGGGGGTGGTTTCCCCATGCTCTTGTCATGATAGTGAGTTCTCATGAGATCTGATAGCTTTGTAAGTGTTTAGTAGTTCCTCCTGTGGTCATTCTCCTTCCTCCTACCTTGTGAAGAAGATGCCTTGCACCCCCTTCACCTTCTGCCGTGATTGTAAGATTCCTGAGGCCTCCCTAGCTGTGCTGAACTGTGAGTAAATTAGACCTCTTTCCTTTATAAATTACCAGTCTTGGGCAGTTCTTTAGAACAGTATGCAAAGGGACTGACATATGGCTCGAGCAAGACTTCCTTGACCCACAGGTAGTACAGGTTAGGGTCCCTGGATCCATGCTGTCCCAACCTCGACCCTTATCTGCACCCTATGAGTCTCCTATCACAGTGTGGATGTCTGTGTCTGAAACCCACTAACATATGAACTTCTGAAGAGCAGAGATGGGAGATGGACTGGCAGAAGAAGAGGCTGAAAAAACCTCAAGGAGTCATCACATCATGCCCTGCAGATCTTGAATAGAAGGCTGCAGGCATGTGGATTTGATCCTATAGGTGCAGGGGAGCCATGAAATGAGTTTAAGTAGCGGAGGTGACATGGTCAGACTGGGCCGTTAGAAACCATGAGACATGTCTAAGTGAATGAGGACTGGAAAGTTAGTTTAGGGTTATGGGAATGGTAGAGATGAAAAGAAGACGACAGCTTGTCAAAAGATTTAGGAGGGAGAAGACAGGTCTTGGTGACTAAGTATAAGATCCCAGGCCAGGCGCGGTGGCTCAAGCCTGTAATCCCAGCACTTGGGAGGCTGAGGCAGGCAAATCACCTGAGGTCAGGGGTTCGAGACCAGCCTGGCCAACACGGCAAAACCCCATCTCTACTAAAAATACAAAAATTAGCCAGCATGGTGGCACATGCCTATAATCTCAGCTACTTGGGAGGCTGAGGCAGAAGAATCACTTGAACCTGGGAGGCGGAGGTTGCAGTGAGCCAAGAGTGCGCCACTGCACTGCAGCCTGGGTGACAGAGTAAAACTCCATTGGCTCACGCCTGTAATCCCAGCACTTTGGGAGGCCGAGGCAGGTGGATCACAAGGTCAGGAGTTCTAGACCTGGCCAACATGGTAAAACCCCGTCTCTACTAAAGATACGATAAATTAGCTAGGCATGGTTGTGTGAACCTGTAATCCCAGCTACTCGGGAGGCTGAGGCAGGAGAATCGCTTGAACCTGGGAGGTAGAGTGGAGTGAGCCAAGATCACGCCATTACACTGCAGCCTGGGTAACAGGGTGAAATTCTGTCTCAAACAACAAAAAACAAAAGATCCTGGTACTAGTTAGGGAGAAGACTCGTTTACAAGTTGGACAACTGGGTGGCCAGATAGTGATACCTATTCTTTTTTTTTAAACAGAGTCTTGCTCTGTTACTAGGTGCCAAGCTAGAGTGCAGTGGCGTGATCTCGGTTTACTGCAACCTCCACCTACCCGGTTAAAGCAATTCTCCTGCCTAAGCCTCCCAAGTAGCTGGGACTACAGGCACGCCTAGCTAATTTTTGTATTTTAGTAGAGACAGGGTTTCACCATGTTGGCCAGGATCGTCTCAATCTCTTGACCTTGTGATCTGCCCACCTCAGCCTCCCAAAGTGCTGGGATTATAGGCGTGAGCCACCACACCCAGCCAGTAATACCTGTTCTATGGGCTGGAACCAGGGCTGGGAAAGCTGTCTTAGAGGGCATGCCTGCTTCCTGGACCTGTCATTGCTTGGCAAAGGATGCTCTACTCTAGACGAGGCATCCAGAAGCCCACAGGGAGTGAATGAACCTCCCACATCTCATGACATGGGAGTCAGGTAAAAGGGACCAACCACTTCCCAGAACCCTAGGGAGAGACGAGGATTGCCATGAACAAAGAGGACAGGTACCTTATACACGGTGGTTTTATTTTCAATGGCATCTGCTATTTTCGTCATCGGAGAATGGAGCAACTTGATCTCCATTTCAAGTGGGTCCGTGTCACCCAACAGCTCATCAGATTCTCCAGTGGCCAAGCCTTTAACACAACCAACACCAGTGTCAGGGCCCTGGCTCCCCGCTGTTGCCAACCCCCTGGTTAGGCCTCAATGAAAAGGATACATGGATGCTTCCCAGTAGAGTCAGATGCAAGAACTTTTCTCACTTCTGCTGAGAGGCCACATGACCAAGAATTAAAAGCATGGGTTTTGCAGTAGGACATTCACTTGCTGGGAGCTGGACTCAGAGCTTTAGCTTCCTCATTTGGAAAATGGGAATTCCACAAGCCCTAGTCACACTGGGCTGCTGCTGTGAGACATGAGAGAGGTCTATAATGCTCTGGGCCCAAGATGCTGCTCTGTGAATGGCAGGCCCTGGGATTCCCTCCCCAGGACCAGGACTTTCCCCTCCTCTCTCTGGCCCCTTGCCTGAAGCTGGCCTCCACTGCAAACCTCAGATGTGCCCACTGCCCTGTGCCTCACTACCCTCATGCCTGCTTCTGTAATTTTGCCCCTATTCCCTACCCCGGACCTTCTAATCACTACTCACCCTTCAAGATCCAGCACTAGGGCCAACTCCTCCATGAAACCCTCACCACTAACCTGTCCCCCACTGTCTCCTCAATTTCTCAGACCTCAATCTTTTGCCAAAATGCGTTCTCGGTGATGGAGCACCTCTTGCCCTTACGTCCAGCCAGGGTCAAGCATCATCATAAGAACATAAGCTCAAACCCCTCTCAACTGCCCTACTTAATAGAGGAGGAAACTAAGGCGAGGTGTGACGGCTCATGCCTGTAATCCCAGCACTTTGGGAGGCCAAGGCAGGTGGACTGCTTGAGGTCTGGAATTCGAGACCAGCCTGGCCAAAATGCAAAACCCCATCTCTACTAAAAATAAAAAAAATAAGCCAAGCATGGTGCGCACCTGTAGTCCCAGCTACTCAAGCAGCTGAGGCACGAGAATCACTTGAACCCAGGAGGCAGAGATTGCAGTAAGCCCAGATCATACCACTGTATTCCAGCCCAGGCAACAAAGCAAGATTCTGCCTCAAAAAAA